GTTTGTAGCGTATATTGACCAGTTGTTCCTGAAATGACAACTGACATAGAGCCAATCAGGAACCGTGTTTACCGTATGTCAACCTCGGTATTTCGATTTAATTCAACCGTGGCCAGGGCGGTGGAAGAAATCCATACCGACCACGAGGAAGCGCAGGAAGAAGTGGAAGAAGAGCCTTTCCAGGAGGTTCAAAACAAAAGACGCAAGCGGAAAAACAACGGACAAAACGAAAACGACGCACGAAATCACGCACAACAAACCAATCAAATCAACCGTTCTAACATTGGAATCGATACAAATGCAACTACGACACCCAATACCGACCAAAAATTACCTCCAATCGTGATCAAATCTAAAATTATAAATTATAAACAATTTCACCAGAAAATCATTACAACTACAGCGCAAACTCCAACAATCTTTTACGGGAACAGAACAAAAATATTTGTGAAATCAGACAACGACTACAAAAAACTTATTAATTTATTCGACCATCAACAACTGGAGTATTTTTCCTATCGCAAACTGACAGAAGCTACAAAATCTCTAGTCATCAAAACTGTACCATTTTTGGAAGAAGAAGAACTTACGAAGTTTTACAAACAGCAACATCCGGGCGTGCTATACGTGCGGAAAATGAAAAGCAAGAAAGATGACTCGGAAAGTCGATCATACCTAATTAAACTCACGTCGGAAACCAACATAAATGACATTAAAAAAATCAAAAGCATAGACGGTGCATTCATCCACTACGAACGCTATATAAAACCCACGAAAATAACAATGTGTCGAAGATGTCAGGAGTTCGGCCACGGAACAGAAAACTGCCGGAGCGCCCCAAGATGCGTTAAATGCCCAAAAAATCATCTCACTCAGGACTGCGATAAGGAGCCAGATGCACCACCGATATGCACAAATTGTACCGGACCTCACCCAGCAAACTTCACCGGATGCCCTGCTTACAACAGGTATGTACAACAAAACACATTAAAGTAGCTGACGTTAGAACTCCAAACCTCACAATCAACGACAAGACATTCCCGCTTCCAAAGCCATATTACAAAGCAACACCTTCCATTGCGCAAAACTCCTCGCCAAAAAATACACACACAAATAACACTAACACCACTCCTAATACTCATCATCCCATGCAATCATATATAAACATCCTACAAAAATTCCAAAAAATCAAACCTGAAATTGACAACGCTCCAACGGAGGTGGAGAAACTAATAGTTATTCTTAAACATTATGGATCCTAAATCCTTAAATCATTTAAAAATCATTACATGGAACGCATGCTCCCTACAAAACAAAATCCTTCAATTTCGACATTTTCTAGAACAAAACAAAATTCATGTTGCATGTATACAAGAAGCCTCCAAATCCAAAAAACCTCTTCCAAAAATTGTGAATTACAATCTTATTTCCAACAAAAAAATTGCAATATACATTAAAAAAGAACTTCACTATGATCAACTCCTCGAAACCGAAAACTCAATTAGCATCCTAGTAAATAAAATTCGCATTACCAACTTCTATAATTATCCGAAATTTGCATCTGACCTTAACGAATTAAAATATATCACAAAATTTCCAAATACCATAATCCTTGGCGACTTTAACGCGAAACACACGAACTGGAATAATTCATCAACTAACCAAAATGGAAAAATCCTAAATGATTTCCTTAATTGTCATCCACAACTTAACTTACTTTACCCACAAAATTCTTACACCCATTACCCGACAAATGGCAATAATCCTTCCACAATAGACCTAATTGTCACCAACTTAAAATTTTATGTTGAACCTCCTTCAACGGTCAATGACCTGGACTCCGATCATCTACCTGTCGCCACGCGAATCCACTTAAAAGTCCCCATAAAATTAAATACCAAAATTTCCCGAATTACAAACTGGTCCAATTATAAAAACTACCTGAAAAACCAAAATCCCAATTTTCCATTACACAGTACTTACAGCATTGACAAAGCCCTGCACCGACTAACAAATGCCACTTTGAATGCATACCACAAAAACACACAAATTATAAACACTCCCTCACATAAACTACAACTTCCCCGTGACATCCTATACTTAATTAACACCAAAAACAAACTACGTAAAACATCCCAAAAATATAATCTATTCCAAATCCTTAAACCCCAAATTAATAAAATATCCCAAGAAATTAATGAAAAAATTGCCTCCTACACCAACCTGCAATGGAATCATAAACTATCCAATACCAAGAATCTCCTATCCGTTCATAAAATCATAAAACAACTAAGAATTCCCAATCAAAAAAACACTCCATTACACACGACCAATGGCATCAAATTTTCTACACAAGAAAAGAGTGATGCCCTGGCTGACGAATTTTCTAAATCTTCCTCCCTTACCGATCACCTACACGATAACACATTTCATGACCACATACAAAATACGATTAAAAATTTCCTACAACAACCTCAAACAAATCCAGGCGATCCAATTATAAATTTCACGTCATTACAATCACTTATTAAATCACTTCCCAATAAAAAATCTCCTGGTAAAGACAAAATTACTAACGAAATGATCAAAAAATATCCAAACAACTTTATCCTTCAACTAGTAAAAATCTATAATGCATGCTACCAACTAAATTACTTCCCTAAACAATTTAAACACTCTGTAGTAATCCCAATAGCAAAACCGAATAAAAACCCAACACTTCCACAAAATTATCGTCCTATTAGCTTAATTTCTATGCTCGGTAAACTTAACGAAAAAATTATTAATGTAGAACTAACAAAACACACCCAATTACTTAAAGTTATACCTGACTCCCAATTTGGCTTCCGAAAACATCATTCTACTAACATGCAAATAGCTAGAATTATTAACAAAATCACCATTAACACTAATCTGAACAAAACTACCTCTTTAACTACAATAGACTTAACAAAAGCATTCGACACTATTTGGCATGACGCGTTAATTTATAAACTTATTCTCTTAAAATATCCCAAAAATCTAATCCTGCTAATACGCAACTACCTGAGCAATCGCTCTTTCCAAGTAAAACTTCAAAACACTTTTTCCAACTCGCAAAAATTAACCACAGGGGTCCCACAAGGCGGCGTACTTTCTCCCCAACTTTACAACATTTATACCCACGACATTCCTACCGATCCAAATACCGATATTGCCTTGTTTGCTGATGATACCGCAATCATCACTACATCATCTCAAACCGCTCAAGCTAACAAATACACCCAACAACACCTAAACAAACTCCAAATGTATTACCAAAAGTGGAAACTCCTCCCAAACCCGGAAAAATCCACAATTACCTACTTCGGCAACCGAAGAAAATCCAAAAATCATCAATCTACTCCTTCTTTAAACAATTTAAACATCCCAGAAACACCCGACCCTAAATATTTAGGCGTAATTATTGACAAAAAATTAACTTTCAAAAAACACATCTCTTCAGCCTTATGCAAAGCCAGAATTACCAAAACAAAATTATACCCCCTTCTTGGACCCCATTCAAAATTAAATACACATCTGAAAACCCAAATCTACAAATCTTACATTCTTCCAATTTTAACGTACGGATCACAAGTAACTGAACTTGCTGCAAAAACAACTAAATCCAAAATGCAAATTTTCCAAAACGCGATTCTCCGGAACATACTCAAAATCACGCGACAATCTCGAATTCGCACCAAAATTATTCATGAACGTACGCGCTGCGAAACAATTTCAAATTACATTAAAAAATTAAATACCAATTTTTATAAACATCACATTTTAGCGTCCAACTTAACAGAAAACATACTAAATCATCCCCTTAAAAATCATTATAGAAATAACCAAAAAACTCTCACAAATATTCCTCTAAATTAATTACTCCCCTTTTCTCCCTCTCTTCCCTATTATTAACGTCTCTACTTTGTGTTTTTTACTACCTACGTATCAGGGCACAAGTGACATAATAATAAAACTCTCGTCGTAAAATCATCAATGATGTCAATCATATGTAAATTTTAAAAATTAGCAGGTAATTTGTTCGTCAAAAGGTACTGTATAAAAATTATTATTAAATCGTAAACAATAAGAAATATGTACTGTGTAAGTTATTTTCTATTTAATTGTTTTGTTTATACTTAATTTATTAAATGTTTTCCAAAAAAAAAAAAGCGTTTTTACTACCTACGTAAGCAAAGCATACTTACCTGGCGTAGGGGTTACCGTGATCAACAAGGCGGTTCCCCAGGGTGAGGCCCTCCCATTGCACTACGGCTGGGCTGACCCCTGCGATTATCCCTAATGTGGATAACTCGGGCGCGCAATTTTTGGTAGTCGGGACTGCGTACGCGCTGTCCCGGTCTTATAAAATCGAAACATAGCAGTCTTCTTCTTTTTCATGTATTCTTTATATTTTTCATTTGTTTAAATTTGTGCATGGTTTACCTGTCGAGTTACTTCTTCTCACGTATGTACGAATATATGTACGTGTTCATTTTGAGTTTATTTGTCAGTAAGTTTTAGTATAGATTAGATTCCATTTTATTAAGAGTAGAGATCCTGATGCATAAAGAAAATAGTTAATTAATTATTAATTTTGTTTAAAATTTTATGCGAGTGAAACAAAAGATAATTTGGATAAATTTTGTTATAATAGTATATTAGATTTAGTCATGTGATGTTTACGCTAAGTAAAGTTAAGTAAACACTTACTGTACGCTATTTTGTTTTTCATTTTTTCATTGTATTTCAAGATGTTTACGCTGTTTTTTCTACTTGTACTCTATTTCCACGTTTTTGTATTTGAACTTTTGTATTTTAAATTTTCGAAATTGGCTCGCACACTACTGGTAAATGTAAAGTTATATTATATATTATAACATGAGTCTAAAAACCGTGGAAAAACTGGCGCTTTATAGATGGAAGTAGAAATAATTATATTATATTACATGATTTCAAATAAGTTGGACCTACATTGACCAGTTGTTCCTGAAATGACAACTGACATAGAGCCAATCAGGAACCGTGTTTACCGTATGTCAACCTCGGTATTTCGATTTAATTCAACCGTGGCCAGGGCGGCTGCAGAACATTCATAGCACATAAATGGTTACTAAGCTGTATTGATACTAATTTAACATTAACGTTAAAAAATAACTACCACCTAAACATGGACAAAGACGAAAACTTCGCTTGCACTTCCGACTGGCCAGATTTGGCATCCTCAAGCACTGAGAATTCGCTTTCAGCAAGATCAAAAGAGCAATATAATAAAACTTATGCAAGTTTTATAAGCTGGCAACAACAATCACACACGAATTCTTTGTCAGAAAATGTATTATTGGCATATTTCACAACATTGGCAAAGACAATGAAACCATCCACATTATGGGCCACTTATTCAAAGTTACGAGGTACAATTGAGCTAAAAAACAATGTGGACATTAGCAATTATGACAAGCTTCGAGCATATTTGAAAAACCAATCTGTTGGATTCACACCAAAGAAGTCTAAAATCCTTAGTGATGAACACATCAAACAGTTTTTATTATATGCTCCAGATTATAAGTTTTTATTTACCAAAGTTGCTTTAATTTTTGGAATTATGGGAGCATGCCACAGGGAGGAACTACAGAGCATTGAAACCCACCATGTTAAGGATGACAATTCAACTTTATTAGTCCAGATTCCCAATACAGCAACAACAACTGAGCGACAATTTGTAGTTGGAGGTGAATTTTACCAAACTTGTAAAAAATATATGGAACTGCGACCACCTGACATTAACTGTTCTCGATTTTTTCTCAATTATTATAATGGGAAGTGTATATCGCAACCAACAGGCATAAATAAATTTGGAAATCTCTCACGAGTAGTGGCTGAATTCCTTAAACTGCCTGAACCAAAATCATATACTGGAAGACATGGAGGCTGGAAGTCAACTACATTTGCTGAAACTTGTAGTGATCACTCTTTAAGTAAGAAAATCCATGCTGCAAATCTTATAATGAAGCATATAGAGTCAACAACAAGTGAGGATGCTACAAATAATGACATTGCCATTAGCACCCCCATCAGAACTAAAGTCAATGAAGTAACTACCTCTGGTACTACTATCAACCACAATGACCACATATTTAAAAACAATATAAAGAACTATAGTACTAATGCAGGGCCAGTTACAATTTCATATTCTAATTGCAACAATGCATCGAACATATCATTTAATATTCATATCCGCAAGTAGTTTGTTCCTAGAAAAAATTGTTTTTAATTTTTATTTTCAGTATTTGCGATAATTATTATAAATATAAGTTATTTATTAAATTATTAACATGCATTTTTCGGATGGAAGTAGAAAAAATACACTCTTGAATTGTGCCACTGAAGGTAACATTTAAAATTAGCATGGCCGTACAGACCTGATCAAAAAATGTACAACTAATCACGTGTATAATATAAATGTACCTTAGAAATTTTGTTTACTAATGCTTAACGCTCTTACTTTGATAAATGCAGTGTGTAAACAAGTAATACTAGTGGACTAGTAATCTATGGCTACTATAGCTTATGATAACAATACAGTCTATATGCAATTTTGTTATTATCGTATTCACTTACTACATTTTTGTTCTTTACCCTAATCTGATGTTTTTGCAGTTTAGAAAAATATATTGAAAATTTAGATATTTTCGGTCTTTGGTAAATAAAAACAATTCATTGCTCTGTATACTTTCATTGAATACTGCGTTTTATCGGCCGAAATAGCTCAGTTGGGAGAGCGTTAGACTGAAGATCTAAAGGTCCCTGGTTCGATCCCTGGTTTCGGCAATACTTTTGTTTTATTCATGTTTGAACAACTGATTAAATAATCTCTATTTCAAATTTACAATTGCACACTTTGCCACAAGAAGTTATTCTGCATCACTGTTTTACAACAGCGGCCGTTTATACTTTATTTGTGCTGTTATTCAATTTCACGAAGTATAGATATACTATATATATATCTATACTTCGTGTTCAATTTAAAAACGACATCGTTTGACTTTGACTCAAGGTCACAGTGGTTCTGTCAAAATATAACGAACTTTTCATGTTTTCTGCTAGGCATTACAAAATGCCGAGTTTATACAGCCGAAACTGAAGAATTTACTTGCTGTTCGCCAGGAAGCAGTATGGGTGGGTTTTGAATTTTATACTTTGTGAAATTTCGATTAATCTAACATATTTTATAATTTTTAGACTCCGACAAAGAGTTTATGTCCACAATCAAACGTTTTACGGAATATCAACACAGAGCAACTAGAGAGTTTGCAGCAATCATCAGAACTGGAATAAACAACCAGTGCAAGTTCAAAATCGAGCCTCAACCATCACAAATCAACCCGTCTCAAGTAGAAAAAACTAAAACAGTGCTAAACAAGTGTGAAAGCATCAATAATCAAACACCTGATTGGTCAGCTTTGTACAATGAATTAAAACTTACAGACTCTATCATATCATCACCAGAATTTAATTTATATAAAAAATTATAACAACTTTAACAATCTGTACACATCTTTTATATCTCTAAGTCTAGGACTTGTCATCTAGAATAAAACAAAATTATAATTCAAAACTTTACAGTGGAAAACTAAATATTACCTGGAATAAGGGAAATAGTTTATGCTTCTTTTCTTCTTCCAACCATGTTTTAATGGTTAACATAAAGAGCACCCTTTGCTATAATAATATTTGTATTAGAAACTGAAAAATATTTTTTAATTGTGTTACCATTGATATAACTTCATTTATGAATATTGATTCAACTGAAGGCCATGGTATAAATGTTCTTTTCTTTCCAAACAGATAATTCACCTCAATTTGATAACCAACATTTTTCACAACAAGTAAATTCTCTAAAAAATCTCTTCATGATAATCTGATTTTACACAACTGATTTCATACATACCTGATTTTAGAATAGATGTTAATTTATGAAATATAAATGCAAATGCAGCTAATAATACAATAAAGTACGAAATATTATAAATTTGTAATGTAAAATTCGTCAAACCAATTGATGACAATATAAGCAATAGGAGAATGTATACTTTGAATGAATGTGACCAGTTTCTGGAAATGTTCATTTCATAACCACATTGAAACTTGTTTATTTTGAGGGTCATATGATGACCGCGAACGTTTTCTATTACTCTAGATATTAGTGTTTCATATTTGTAATCCATTTCGTTAACTAGTTATTTCGAAACAATCATTATAAAAGTAACTTGTTACGTTTACGACTTTGGTTGCTTAGCTGAGCGTGTTAAAAATTAGATGTGGAATATTGCAGGTTAAACTTTGTTTTGTCATTGAATCATCATTTTCTTGTGTTTGGATTTGTGACTGTGAGCATCAGCCCCGTGACCTGCTAGACGATAAGCGCTTCAGTGTGAGTTTATGCAATTGCAATTTGGCAACGTTGCTACGCATGACAATATTACTGTATAATGGGTTGCATGCAGTAACATTGGATCTACAAACAATAATTAAATACAATACTGATATCTATATATATTATGCGAGAACTAGATTTTTATAAAAATTCAATTGGTGGATTAGGTTTTGGTATTCTCAACTGTTTGTTCTCAATTATTATTGTAATTTGTCACAATAAATTATCTGTACGATATATATTTCATTGCATACAATCTTTATAACGTACTTCTTGTAAACAAAGAACACCGGTGCCTCGGCGTCAATTTGATATTAAAAACTACCAGTACATGAATAATAAACGATTTAACGCGCACCTTTACTTCAGATCTATTAATTTAACACATAAACATAGATCTACATCAAGCCGAATGCTGAGAAATCGTTTGTAATTACTGCGAACTACTGTTTATTGTCTTTGTTAGAATAGTTGCGCCTTCTGGGTAGGCAACTACTTGATTGACTTTCTTTTTATTTTTGTTTATAGTTTATGACTTTGTTTTTCTGTATCCAATAATAGTAAATCAGAAAATATTACGTTTAAAATACTGTTAATTACGATTATGTAATGAATATTTCGTAAGACTCCAACATGCTCCGCTGTAAAATGCGGTGTTGCATGGCAATATTTGAAATTGGCGCGCATGTGCGCGCTGTCCTTGCGATTGCCCTTGTGGACCCCGTTTAGCGTTGTTGTGAATTCAATATGGCGGTAGCGATTAGTGTTGTGTCCGCTAACAATAATATATCAATGGACGGTTAATAAATTAGTAAATAATATTTATAGTCGCTAATGTAAATATCAGTTTGGAAGTGCGTTTGCGTCCGATGGACATTCACAGTTCCCAGTTGATGCTGATCGAGTTACTGTGCGGCTAACGGCGTGTGCTGGGTATCCGAGTAAATTTTCGTGAGCGAAATTTCGTCGCTCGCTAGTGACGATCGTTTAGGAGCAAACTACCTTGGTGGCTGACGAAGTGAAAAAACTAATTTTCAGACGATCTTTCCTGATAGTCAGGTGCGTAATATCGGCTCGGCGATCGGCGTCGATCGCATCAAACACAGTTTTGCTGCCTTATTTAGGTTATTCAAGTAATGAAGGCCTGACGTTTGTTTATGCTTACTCAAGCCAAACATTCGTCATGATCTTTTTAGTCGTCTTTGAGAATAGTATCGTTAGTTTGAACTTGAGATTTTACGCAAATAAGTTTAGTTGATTTGTGTGTGAGTGTGACACTAGTCTAGAATAATTTGTTTGTGTTTGCAGGCATGTGGGACATAACCATTTGTAGTTTAATTGTAAATTAAAAGAATATAAATAAAATGACGGACACAAGAAGAAGGGTGAAGCTATATGCGTTGAACGCAGATAGGCAATGGGACGATCGTGGCACCGGTCATGTGTCTTCAGCTTATGTGGACAGACTAAAAGCAATTTCATTGCTGGTTCGAGCAGAGAGTGATGGTTCTTTGTTGTTGGAGTCAAAAATTCAACCAGACACAGCTTATCAAAAGCAGCAAGACACATTGATTGTGTGGTCAGAAGGTGATAATTTTGACTTAGCTTTAAGCTTCCAAGAGAAGGCTGGTTGTGATGAAATCTGGGAGAAAATCTGCCAAGTGCAAGGTAAAGATCCCTCAGTTGAAATCACACAGGATATCGTTGAAGAGTCCGAAGATGAGCGGTTTGACGATATGTCCGACTCGGCGCCGCCGATTGAATTGCCCAGTTGCGAGCTCAGCCGGCTAGAAGACATAAGTGAATTGATTAGTAATTGCTTAAGTTCGCCAATGCGCAAGGAAAAACTCGCTGCTGCCATAGAGAGTGAAGGTTACATTAAAAAATTGTTAAATTTATTCCACATGTGCGAAGATCTGGAGAACTTTGACGGCCTGCATCATCTTTACGACATATTCAAAAACATCTTCCTGTTGAATAAGAACGCGCTTTTCGAAGTGATGTTTGGTGACGACGTTATCTTTGACGTGGTCGGTTGCCTAGAGTATGACCCATCCTGTCTGACGCGAAAGAAACATCGCGAGTATCTCAAGCAGCAAGCCAAATTCAAGGAGGCCATTCCCATTCGCAACACCGAGCTGCTCTCAAAGATTCACCAGACGTTCCGGGTGCAGTACATCCAGGACGTTGTACTGCCGACGCCGTCCGTCTTTGAAGATAACATGCTAACGACGCTTAGCAGTTTCATCTTCTTCAACAAGGTGGAGATAGTGTCGCTTGTACAAGAGGACGAAAAGTTCCTTACAGAGCTATTTCAAATGCTCACTGAGCCGAACACAACTGATGGTAAACGACGCGATTTGGTGCTCTTCCTCAAAGAGTTCTGCAATTATTCGCAGAATCTTCAGCCGCAGGCGAAGGAGACGTTTTATAAGACGTTGACGAATCTGGGAATTCTTTCCGCGCTCGAAATCACGCTCGCGATGGACGACCAGAAAACAAAGACTGCTTCCATTGATATTCTCACTTACATCGTGGAATATTCACCTTCCTTTGTTAGAGAGTACACGCTACAGCAAGCCAACAATACGGACGAGGACCAAATTCTACTTAATATAGTTATAGAACAAATGATTTGCGACACGGATCCGGAACTGGGCGGCGCGGTGCAACTGATGGGAGTGCTTAGGTTACTTCTGGATCCGGAGAATATGCTCGCGCAGGTGAACAAATCGGAGAAGACCGATTTTCTTAATTTCTTCTATAAACACAGCGTTTTGATCCTTATAGGTAAGTAGAATTGAAAAAAATTAAACACTTATTTCGTTGAATGAGTTGAAATGAAACCAGACTTTTTCTGTTCAGATCCTTTACTCAAGAACACGGCGCATGGGGAGCCTCAGAAGGAAGACTACCAGACAGTACAACTGTTGGGTCTGATTCTGGAGCTGCTCTCGTTTTGCGTTGAACATCATACGTACCACATCAAAAACTGCATCCTCAACAAGGATCTGCTACGGCGTATTCTTGTACTGATGAAGTCTACGCACAAATTTCTCGTGCTATGCGCGCTGCGATTCATGCGCAAGCTAATCGCGCTCAAGGACGAGTTCTACAATCGTTACATCATCAAAGGCAACTTGTTTGCGCCCGTTGTCGATGCTTTCGTGCGCAATAACGGCCGCTACAATCTGCTGGACTCGGCTATCATTGAAATGTTTGAGTTTATTAAACTGGAAGATATCAAGACACTGTGTTCGCACGTGGTTGAAAATTACGGCAAGAGTCTGGACGACATCGGCTACGTGCAGACGTTTAAGTCGCTCAAGTCGCGGTACGATCAACACCAAGATAAGCTGAAGGACAGGGAGCGCAATGCACTTGAGGGGTACGGTTATTTTCATTATTATTGTAACTTGTTCATTATAGGGGGTATGTTTTCTGTCACAGGGTTCCCTCGATATTACGTAATAGTAGGTATAGGCGCGATCAAAGACAAATGGAGGAAGAGGAGGAGATGTGGTTCAACGAAGATGACGATTTTGACGATAACGAAACGATAGTACCGGCAGGCACTACGGATATTTTGTCGAAAAAAATTGACACAGATCTGGATAGTATAGGCAAGATAATCGAGAAGAAGGTGGAGAATAATGGACCCAAAATGAACAATAATTCCTCGCAAAAGTCGACTGTCCTGAACAATAATGCCAATAGTGGGGCTCAACCACCTAGTAGTCCTGCACCAACTGAAAACAAGTCGGCTTTATTCAAACGAGTAAGCATGTTATTCCATATTTTATGTATACATATTTTATTACATTGTATAATACGTTTGGGTGAACTTTTCAGAGTTTGGTTGATTACGAAGGTGGCGATTCGGACGAAGAAGAAGATGAAAACAGCGAAGTGCCGAAGCGGCCGCGCCTCTCATAGTACATAGAAAAGTTGGACATTTAGGTAAGTCTTTCGTATAGAAGGACGCAGGAAACATGCACAAGCCAACCAAACGAAAATGGATTTCATTGACTACTAGTGGCGGAAAGATCAGTGTCCCAGCCGCCACGTACTCGTAACATAAAACCAAGTTCAAGAGTGATCTCAACCTTACTAGTGTGCGATTTCATTTATACATATGCAAAACTGTTGTGTGGTATGAACGGTCAATTATAAATCAGTGCGTAAACAAGCAGACGCGAATGTTTTGAGATTTAAGGACGTTCCGAGAAGACGAGAAGAATGCCGGATGTGCTTGTTCATTTGTTTTGTAAGTACATTTAACGACTGCACAACTCTCGTCCACACCAATCATATTGTATATCTGATTTAATAGGCCACGCAAATACACTTACATACATACACGCATACACATATTGAGTGCAAAACTGCAGTAAACGAAGAAACAGTCTGGTTACAAAAAGTACTAATCACAAATGCGAACTATTTTTCTATCTTGCAGTAACCCCCAAAATATATTTATTAACTCTTTCACCTGTAAGTATCTGTATCGGAAGACTTACTGCAAGATTGACGGCAACGTGTGTTAGCGCCTGACAAATGGACACAGCCGCCTTATATTTCCAACTAAACTGGGACGACTTGCGCGCATCTTACTGAGCGATAAACGATTGACTAAACGAGTGAGATTAGGACGACGAACGATTCTGGGTGACTTGTGTCTCGGGCGGGAAATGGTTCATCGCTGTCGTTGGCAATGTCGCCCCCGCACCCATTTGTATATAGTTCATTGATATATTTAAGTAATGCGCGAGACCTCCAATTGTCAGGCGACGCAAATCCATTTATTTTTATAATTAGTTTACTTCTTTTATTTACAATCACCTATTAGTTTTAAACGCTGCGAGTAATGCAAGAGAACGCGTAATTGATTTATTTTCTAATGGTTTTCTTCTCGTGGAAAGCATTATGATATCTTTGATTTACTACGAAGAGCGGCGGGGTCCTCAAAGGGACGCCGAGTGAATTTACTTATAGGCTAAGTAGTTATATAGATAGGTTTTAGCTACGTTTAGTATCATATAAAAAATAAAAAATATATCTAATAAAAGTGCGTGTAGTGTCAAAAAAGTGCTTAGATTGTGGGATAATGAAAATTTGAAAATCGATGCAAATTTTACATCTTCGTACTGTTTGAAAATATGTGAATATTTCTGTGATTAAAATCACAACACAACCCTGACATGGAATATCAGCAATTGATACCACTTGTAATTTTATTTATTGATTTTATAAGTAAATGAATGAATGGATAAAGTAATTAAACGTAAATTGGAAGTAATTTTAAACGCGTAGCAAATTTGAACAGTATGAAGCTGGCCGAAATTCCGGATGCATTGAAGCCTTGCTTTAGTTTTCTTGTAATAATTGTGATGAATAAAATGTGTTATAAGTTACTTCTTAAGCCTGCTGCTTTTCGAATCAATTCACACACAAACGAAATGAAGTTACTTGATGATGATTTCCGATTGTCTACCGATTGCAAATGTTTTTATCTATTTCCAAGCGAAAGACGGCAACCAATTGATTAAGATGATGTAAATAGCAACCATATTATTGTAAAGTACTAACTAATTAACGATCGCAGCTCTTGTCGCGCTCCTCCAGCACTAGAAACCCTGGAGGTGTGCAACGATAGCCGTCGCAGAGAAAAAAAAAACTATTAGCTTCTGATCTGTTGACAAAAGGGAGAAAGAAAAATACAAAAATACAGTAAAATGTATACAAATGATGCTAAAACCGTAAGCATACCGTAATTAATAATCAAATAATGAGTGCAATTTGTATATCTTTTACTTGTTTTAATTTCACAAACATAAACTTCCGAGTTTCCGAAATGCACAAATTGTACGATTTCGTTGTGAGAGCGCGTACGCTATCCGTCTGTAATTGAAATAAGCAAAAACAAGCACTACATCAGCGGCGAATCATGCGCACGTCAACCTTTTTATACAAACAAACAAAATGGCAAAAAAATACGGCAGCTTATATTTTTTATACTACACCACATGATCGCATAAACGACAGACAACCCAACAGCAAACGATGGCAAGCAATACACCATCGATCATTCATTTAATTCGATACTCTGACGCAACCACCGCCGAAGAATTGACGCGTTTCACAACGACGCCCACTCAGAACTCGATACGTGAACGAAATGAAAATGAAAAACTTCGACGACAAACAAGAATCATCTGTAATTACTACCAGTATACAGACAGAACTTTTTAAAATAGCAACACACAAACAAATGAAGAAAAGTAAAGACAAATTTAAACATGAAACAAAACTAATAAGAGATGATTAATGTTTTTAACAGAATAATGTAAAATAAAATTGTACTCGTTATTATATTTAGGTAATAAATCTAAAATAAAATTACCTCTTTGCGTTTTGTATTCCTTCCTATTTATCATATTAACATTAACAAATAAATCAAATGCAAATATTTAATATAACTACGACTTTATAGACGCCTTTGTTTTTAGACTTTGGCGTTTTGATGCCTGTAACTTTTTACTCTTTTCAACATCCTCGGCATGTACGGTAGTCTTGAGTGCAGTGAGCGCTTCCTGGTATTGTTGGACGTGACCTTGCAATTGTTCTTCGTCGATTTTAATTTCCTGCAAAGTGGTTTTCTCACCGCGCGATAGCATCTCATTGAATTTAGTTAACTGCTCTTGGACTAACATGGTCACAGCCAGACCTTGTTCTCCCGCACGCGCCGTACGACCAGCACGATGAATATAAGTATTGAGATGTTTCGGTGCACTGTATGAAATTACACATTGCACACCGCATAAGTCAATACCACGAGCCAAAGCATCAGTACAAATTAATCTATAATGAAATAATTATAAATTAGAATATTAAAAAATTAATTTTGTGGATGGTTCACTTACATGTCGATTTCTCCACTATTAAACTTCTTTATTAATTTATTCCTTAAATTACCATCCAACTTCGATCCAATTTCTTCAATTTTACCCTCTTCACCAAACAAATTCTGCAGTAACACCTTTAATCTGTGCGCATTTTCCAACGAATGCGTAAACACCAAAGTCCTGGATAAATTTTCGTTTTTAATAAACTGGTATAAAACTAGCGGTTTCAAATCCAATGACGTAATAATATATTTCTCTGTTAATTCCTTTGGCGTTGTGTATTTTCCAATGAAATTCTCCGAAATGTTCGTAACATTTTTTTCTTCCCCCTCGATAATGGATGTGAATAACTTTGGCTGGAACAATCCGAGCTTGTGAAGTTTTTCGGGATCTTGCGATAGTGTTGCAGAGAATAATAATTTCTGTGGGGCTCGCCTTGATCGGTAATTACTCAAGTTTAATATATTTAAATCGGTAGGTTCTTCATTATAAATATGTTTTTCCAGATGATATAACCAATCGTTCTGCACATTATCCAGAACACGATCAGCTTCATCCACGACGAGATATTCTAAATATTCCAGAGTGAATCCAGGTGTGTGTTTGATGTGATCGACAAGACGGCCAGCTGTGCCGACTAAAATATCAACTCTGCTCACCCATCCAAATGCTGCATCTAAAAGATAAATCTATTACATTACGTTCTACTAATTTATATTGTCACATACTGTTCACAACAAGTTCTTTCTGCTCCAGCAGGAACTGAGTACCACCAGTGGCAAGACAAACATCCAATTTAGTACCCTCTGTATACTTCTTGAATGTATGAAAAACTTGTGTTGCTAAATCTTGTGTAGGAAGAATAATCAAAGCCCTAATTCTTTTTATAAAAGTATCCTGTAATGCTTGAATGATAGGGAGGGCAAATGCTAATGTTTTGCCACTACCTGTTGGTGCAGACACACAAATATCTCTGGGTGACATGCAGTGTTTCAAGTTTAAACTATTTAACAGGTATGGAATGACAGTTGCTTGCACAGGAAACAAATATTTAATGTTTTCTGCTTTCAACTTGTTTCTCAATTGCTTGCTCAAGCACTTTATGCTTGACACTTTTGTTTGCAAATTTTGTAAATCTACAGATATTACTGTAGGATTAGATAACCACTCAGGGAGTACTCTTTTTACTTGAGACTCTTGTTTAAGATCTGTTGTGGCTAACACAGTAAAACCATCAATTGTTTCACCACTCTCAATCTTTCTCTTTTTTGTTTTCTGTTTCTTAACTTCTTTACTTGTATCTCCTATTACTTTTGATTCTTCTTTCAGTGCAGAATCTTCATCAACATCACCTTCTAATTTCTTAGCGAATTCATCAATATTATCATCAAAGTATGCTTGATTAGTGTCTGGTTGAATGTATTTAAAGTCGTTATCTACAATGCGTCTTTGTATAATATCCCATTTCAGTTGTTTCTGATCTTGTTCTTTTACTCTCCGTTTCTGCCTTTTTGCGCGATTCTTTTCAATCCGATTTAACGTTGCCTTTAACTTGACTTCTTCTTCGTCATTCCCCACTGGTTGTTCAACATCTAAATGGCTACAATTTACAAATTTAAATATCAATTTTTAATATAATTTTATCAAGTATATTACCGATTAACAATGAATAAATCCATGTTCACTTGGGAGAAAAACAAAACACGTTTGAAAACAAATGTTTAGGTTATGCACATGTTAGGCACGTTGACACTAGGTTTATTGAGTTGCCTACTATTGTAATAAAAAATATGTACAAATACTCTTATACTCTTTTAATTATTCACGTTACAACCATTTAACAATGTAGTAGTTCCTTTTTCCGACTCTAATTAAAGTAATATTGTTAGCTAGTTTGTGTACGTTGTAATTAAAGACTTCATTAGGATTATTCGCCCGTTTTTGGTTAACATAAAATCCCCCAGCAGATATAATTCTGGCAGCATCAACTAAAAAATAATTATTAATAACTATTAATAAATAATTATGGCATATTTTATACTTTGATTTGCAAAGCAGCCCACTTTTAAAGACATGTCCATTAAACTCATCCCTGCTTCTGCCAAAACTTCAACAACTTCAGCTCCTTTAAACATATCAACTAACTGAAGACTGTCTAGCTTTGCCAATGCAGTCACATCGCCCTCATATAAAGCTTTAGATGCTTCTTGCGCCTTTGCTAAACCTTCATCTCCATGCACCAATAACGTAACTTGTTCAGCAAGATGTTTTTGTGCCAGTCTCTTTTCGGGTGCTGCTCTATGTTGCCGTATTAAATCATTTATTGCGCCAATTGATTCGAATGTAAAAAGACACAACATTTTTTCAGCTTCGGCGTCAGACAAGCGCATCCAAAACTGATAGAATGTAAACGGTGAAGTTTTGTCACCGGAGAGCCAAACTGCGTTACCCGCCGTCTTTCCCAGCTTGTTTCCCATTTCCGTAGTGATGAGTGGTAAAGTTAAACCATATACTTGCGTTTTACATGCTTTACTGATCAATTCTTGACCGGACATTATATTTCCCATTTGATCACACCCACCTACCTAGAAAAATATATATCTTTATGGAACATATTAACTTAAATGACTATTTACCTGAAAACGACACCCATAATTTTGATATAAATGCAGCCAATCATAAGCTTGAAACAATTGATAACTAAACTCTGTTAGGCTCATCCCTGCTGGTGATTGCAATCTTGTTTGTACACTTGTACGTGATAACAACGTTCCCATTCGAAGAAAACGTCCAGCGTTTCCCAACAAATCAACAGGAGTTAATTTCTTGTACCAATCTTCATTATTTAATATACTGAAATCAAATAATTCTGATTAATAAACTCTAGAAAATGATATTATAAACTCACGTCAATGTTCCAAGTTTCATATCTTTGGCAAAGTATTTCTTATGGTTTTTAAAAATTACTTCTAAATTGTTTTGGATTGATAACAAATTTCCATTAATAAAGTTATCATTTAACTTTTCTCTTTCTGTATTTTTGCCACTTGGATCACCTATCCTTCCTGTTGCACCACCTAACTAATAATAATAATTAGGTTTGTTCCTAGAAGTATGTTTCATATTTTAAATTACCAGTGCAATTACATTGTGGCCACCTCTCTGCCAATGCAACAAATTTATTAATACTAAAAGATTGCCAACATGAAGACTTGGAGCTGTAGGGTCCATTCCAGCATATACACATTGAGGAGATGCATTTAGAAGGTCTTTCACTTCTCCTCTACAAAATAATTATGTTCTAATTCAAAAATTTGTATTTATACAGATTTAAGAAGTTTGTAGAAATGAAAAGTGAAAGTGAGGAGGTTATGCAGGCAAAACTTACGCAGAATTCTCAGGAAATATATCCTGCCACATTCCTCTCTCTTTTAATTGTAAGATATTTCGTGAGGAGTACCATTTTCGTATTATTCGTAATTGATTTGTCGTGTTTTTATTTAATTGTTTAATAATAAACATGTTTTGGAAGTTGGAGAATGTTTCTCTGACTATATCAAGTTATGCAACTTATTGTACAATATTTAGTTACCTAGAATAACTTTTGAATCACTTTTATTCAAAATTCTAACAAAAAATTAACACAATAGCAAAAAAACTTATTTTTTCATTTCTTCTGATACTTTGTTATACAATAACTCCATATGAGATGAATCAAGAGGTATTTTTCCGGATTGTAGTAGTTTCAAAATATCATCCATTTTCATTCCGCGCTCTTTAAGAATCTGACGATCTTCTTTTAAAAAGTTTTCCAGGTTGGTATCACTCCACTTTTGTTTCTCAAGCATAATACTTCCTTTTGAAGACAGGATATGTGCTTTACTAAACGTTAAAGGCTGCCTGGAACTTTCATGCAAATTGAAATTGTACTCTTTAAACAAAGACACTAAAGCAATTTTTGTTTGAAGATGGGCAAAACGTAAACCTAAAAAATAATATTAATTAAACCGTATTATAAATTATAAAATTTATCCACCAATGCATTGTCGAGGGCCTTCACCAAATCCAAGCCAACTGCAAACTTCTCTTTCTTTCTTTTTTTCGGCAGAGAAACGCTCAGGGTCAAATACATGAGGCCGAGGATAAATATCATCGTCCCAGTGAATAGCCAGCGTTGGAATGAATACCAATGTACCTTTTTCTAGAGTTAAATTTGTCCCGGGAACTTGATAATCTCTTGAACACTCTCGATGCATTACTGTTACACTTGGATATTTACGTAGTGTTTCTATAAGATAACAAGAAATATATTTTACGGATTTCGATTCTTCTCTTAATAAATTTACCTTCCATTACTTGACTCAAGTAAGTCATCTCGTGAATTCCTTCATATGTCAATTGGCCATTATGTTTATTCAGTACTTCTTCAATTTCCTTTTTGATTTTATGCTGAATTGCTGGTTGTTGAGCCGTTTCAAAAAGTAAATGACTAATTGCACTTGAAGATGTCTCAAAACCAGCAGCAAAGAATAAAAATGATTGGGTAATGATGTCTTGAATAGTAATACCTTTGTCTTCACGTTTTAGCTCAATAAGCAAGTTAATAAAATCCTCTCGTTTAGGAACTTTGCCTTCTTCTCTGAGCTTCACAGTTTCAGTAACAATCTCAGTGAAAAACGCTTCAACATCTTTGTAATGGTTAACAATATTTAACGCGTGACAAATATTTGGGAAAAACATGGTGCACAAACGGCTAAATGCTCTAAAAGTGTCTGTCATAAATATTTTCTTTCCAAACTTGTAGAATTCAGAGTGTTCATTTTTGAAACTGTTAATTTCGAGACCAAAAGCACAATTACCAATAACATCAATGGTAAAATCTGCCGAAACTCGTTTAATGTCAAACACATCTTGTGTAGCAACAAACTCCAGCATGGGTTTTACGCAGTTATGCACAATCGGAAACATCCCTTTTAGTTTTCCGCTGGTAAAAGTCGGCGAGACTTTTTGTCTAATTCTGCGCCATTTTTCTCCTCCTATTTGGAACATATGCGCGCTGATCGGTTGTGCTTCTTCATGATAATACATTCCTTTCTCATCAAAATGATTGAAATCTTTGATGAGAATGCATTTTATTAGTTCTAAGTTTACGGGAACATAAACTGGAGTAGATGCCATGTATATTCCACCGTGAATTTCTTTATAGAACTTGATGTATTGATACACTTCCATGAGATGAATTCCCATGTTGGTAGTTGTTGAACTTAAAGGGTTGTTGATGTGTCCCCATGGTATAGACGGATATGGCAGGGTTAAAATATTCTTTGATTTCCAATAAGTAAACTTTTGTCGAAAATAGGTCACTACCAAAACCACTAATGTAAGTAGAAATATAAGTAGCAATAGCAACATTTTGGCTACAACTGACGAATCAAATAACATATACACTCATTTTGTTATTCTACTTGAATGATAATTCAATCTGGGTACTACCTACTTTAAAAGTATGTTGAAACATCCAAGTTTTAAGCTGGTAACAGACACGTTTTACTAATATGTTTATTTGCACAGTCATTCTTATCTCAATGTCACCGAAATTAAGGTGCTATCGTAATTTATTGCTAAAACCACATTCCGTATGTTTTGCTTTGGGAAACAATCAATGAAGCAGATAATTATTTCAAAATAACTTGTTTATTAAATGACATTTTTATTGTTGTCTAATCTGCAAACAAAAAATCACTGTTTATAAAATAATGTAAATTTAAAACCAGTTTTATCAAGTAATTTTTATTATTGCGAATCAAAAATTTAATTATCACAAAATTAAATTGTTTATCTCATAGATATGGATTCAAATCGATAATAACCCTGACAGATTATAGAAATTTTGATGAATTCGATTTATTTGGATAGTACACAAAAATGTGGTACATTGCTGTTGTAATTGTTGCGTTTGCCACAACATTAGCGTATTTCAACATAAAATTTTCGTATTGGAAACGTAAAGAAGTAGCATTCTTCCCAGCCAAGATACCATGGGGCAGTTTCAGGAATATAATGGAAAACAATCTGTATCAGCAGGTAGAGGCGTTTTACAAATATTTCCGTTACAAACAAGTCTCGTACGGTGGAATATATTTATTTACAAATCCGATATTTGTTCCCATCAACCCATCGCTGATAAGGCAAATCCTGGTAAAAGACTTTTGGCATTTTTCCTCACGTGTTTCCTACCACAATATGAGAGATCAGAAACTTTGTGCACACGTTTTTCATGCTTATGGACACAAGTGGCGAATGCTTTCGGCTAAAGTGAAAAAAGTGCTATCACCACCAAAGATACGATTGTTAATACCAACAATGCAAGACAGTTATGCACCGCTTGTTGGTCTACTAGACTTCTACGTATCTCAAGGATTGAGTGTGGATTTGAAGAGTCTCGTTGAAAATATCACTCGTGATGTGTTAATGAATTGTGTGTTGGGAATGGACGCAAATGAAGATTTTAAGTGGTTTGAAGATTGTTTACTGGTGAAATCAAAGAAGGAGGTGTTATTGGATCACGTACGTAGGATGTACCCAAATGTGGCAAGATATTATGGTGTTTTAAATTATCCCCGAGAAGCTGAAGAGTTTTTCGCGAAAACTGTACTAAAATACATTAAAAAACGACATTGCAATAGTATAAGTCATAAAGACTTCCTGCAATTATTAATGGAAATACACAATCATGATTATGAAATCGATGACTTGCCTGAGGAAGATAAATTGACAATGTACGACATAATAAATCAGTGTTTCTTTTTCTACATTCACGGATTTTCTGCAACAGTCAAAGTGCTTAGTTTTGCTTTGTATGAGTTGGCACGGAGTGAACGTGTACAAAACAAAATTCGTACGGAAATTATGCATTCCCTAGAGAAAAACCACGGTAAATTTGGTTATGACGAATTAAATGAATTAAAATATTTGGAGCAAGTGGTGCAAGAAATATTAAGAAAACATCCGCCAATTACAGTATTAGAAAGAAAGTGTACAAGAAGATATAAATTACCCCAGGTTGATAAGTATTTAGAGAGAGGTACTTTCGTTGTCATATCTATTGCTGGGGTGCACAAAGATGAAATTTTCTATCCGGATCCTGAAAAGTTTGAACCTGAGCGTTTTTCAGAGAAGCATAAGGAGAAATATGAGAAGCAATGTGTGTATATGCCATTTGGGGAAGGTAGAAGAAGCTGTCCTGGTAAGTTATTACATTTTAGTGTAAGTCTATAAATTGAAATTGATTGATTGTTGTTTGTTGTTACTTAAAGGTCAAAGATTTGCTAAGACTCAACTAAAAATGGCGTTGGTGATGATAATACGAAACTTTCAATTTTATTTAACTCCTGGAGGCACAAATCCTTTGGAAGAAGGGCTAATGCTCCAATTTCAAAAAGTTGCAGAGGAACGTCGTATATCTAGTCAATTTTATATTAATATTTAATATCAACGTTCAGACTGTCATTAAAGATGAGTTCATTTGTATTATTTGATACATTTTTACCGGATTATCAGAAAATCGTAAAAAAGCGTTGTTGGGAGCGACTTATATAAAAAATTTCCTTAACAAAATTTTGTTTCTTTTTGTTCATACCAAAACAAAATATAGTCTAGGATCAGATATAGTAAAAGTCATCCATGTTTATTTAACGTAACTTTATTAATTAAAAATAGGCGTAATTATATACACTTCTTAGAATTATTCTGTAAAAACTTAACGTTTGTTTGTTGGATCATCATCCGCCGCTCTTCAATGTTCATTATTTCCACTTATCTTTTATATACTGTAAAATAATACATATTTACTACTTTAGTTTCCATCAGATGAAAGAATTATTCCACTGCATTCACTACAAAGTCTCTTTGTATTTGCGTTTAATGTAAAGAGCATTAAACATCAGTCCAACGTCCGCTCAATATTTTTGACTGTATGATTATTTCTGGTTATTGTAATCGACGTACACGCGAACAACCTCGCCCGAATACTTCCGCTGCGATGGCATAAAGTAGAAGTCGGGCTGCATGTCATGAGGCGGCCGGTGGCGGTCATACGCTGTACGGGGTAGCGAAAACGTACTCCGCTCAAGAGTGTTGGGCTGAGCATAACCGCGACCTCCAGGTCGTTGCAAGGAACGCGTGTCACCCATCATGTAACGTTCCCCACCTCCTGGGGGACCACCTCCGCCACCTTGGTTGGGCACGCTTGGAGGTCGTCCCTGTGGTCGGGGTCCGCGGGCCTTGGCCGGGAGGGTTTCACTTCGGTTCTTGCCGTTGTGCATGTGATGATGGTGCTTCTTTTCGTCGTCGTAGGTCTCGAATGCGTAGTTGGTATTAGCGGCGGAATAGTCCTTCCATGCCGAGTTGGGAATGAGATGATCCTGAAATAATCAATAATTTAAATATAATTAGATTTAATTAGGAGTTTCACTACGAGTGCTATGAACAAGATGTAGTTATTAAATTGTGATTCCAATAACAGACCATGAAATCAGCGTGATTTGATAATGAGCAAGCACAGCGTAAAGGTAAATATTAAATATTAATATAGGCCACAGATTGGTTTCGTATCGGTTCCGTTTGTGTCCATATCGTGTTCTGGAGTTGTCTGAAAATTGTGAAGATGCAAACTTTGACAGTCTGCAATAGCACCTGCACCTTAAGAAAAGAAAGATCATCTACTTCTACTAAATTTGCATTTTGTTTGTTAAATTGGCTAACACTTACCCCACTGGTCACCAGTGTGACCTATCGATTGTAGGAGGAGCCCAGTGGGGTAAGTAATCACCCCGCGATCGCATCGTATACCCACCCTGGTAGTAATTTGGGCCAAGATGCAGACTGTACACCGCCTACGTATACGTACCATAATGCATCAACCATGCCATGCGTTTAGTTTGCGAGTACAGAGCAAACGCAAACATTGTAGATTTACAAGCCATTACAACATGCAATACAAAAGATTAATAATCAACAAGCACAAATACAGGTAATACAAACGATGGATGAAATCAAACGCAACGAATTTGTTAATATCCAAAAAATGGCACACGCAACACGCAAAAATGGCAAAACGATAAATGATTAATTTCATTTCTAGTACTTGCCCGTTTGATATGTTTGATACGGGGATTTTAAAAGTGAGGAAGCAGATAGTCTCACAGTTCTGTTACCTTATGACTGGACGATTTCTTTGTGGCTGTCTTGTATATCGTACAACTGGCTTGAACGAGTGCAACCAGCACCAATGCGGCAATGCAGCCCAACACAACGTACAGTTTCATCTCAGAGAACTGGAAGAAACTGTCTTCGTTCTTGGACGTATCCGCAATAATATTGGATGTCACTGAAAATAAACACCATTCAATACTATTTCTTCAGGGTACTCAGCTATAAGAACTTACAACTCTGTGGTTCAAACACCAAATAGTCAGGGTCTAATTTTAGAGCGCCCACTCGTCCACTTTCAACACTTTCCTTGATCGGTTTCAGAACTTGTTCCAAATGTTCATTCTCATCGGTCAGGGCACGTCCTTTCTCGCTTGTGGCACGATCTAACTGAAGATGCATTACCGCAACAACATTATTGTCTTCCCTAAAAGAACAAGTCAAAATAAATATACAATTCCTATGCTTCTTTTGATTGTCTTACTCTTTAATATCTTCAACATGCATTGATTTGTACCCAGGTATCCTGTTAAAAACAGGTTTGAAGTTATTATTGATTGTGTTTGATAAGTCTTCAAACTCAATCGTTCCCGGTTTTGGTGCGTGGAAGTTCTCGCCTAATTCAACTATCTTCACTTCAATGTTGTAACCTAGACCTGGTGGCTCCTGAGTGGTTATTGGATCATAAAGTGAATCTGCAAAATTTTCAATATTAGGACACATTTGTGGTATATTTTGATGATACTGACCATCTCCACATGACTTAATGCATATTCTTTCAATTGAAATACTTGGAATGACCTCATGTTTCCTGATTTTTTTATTGACGCTGTTGAAAGCACCACCTTTGACGGGGAACATCATAAAGAGGCATTTGTCGTCAGTAAATGCCAAGTCCTAAAATGTACACATAATAATTTTACATCCGGGAAACAAAAGAATTAAATTTGTCGTACCTTGGGGTCATTGGTGATTCGTTTCCTGTTAAACGACAACGTTGTTACACCATCAACTATACGTCCGCTAGCATTGTAAACGCCTTGAGAACTATCCAGTAAAGGTTGTGTGTATCCACTGATCCAAGTGTCCATTAAGAATGGTCTTCCAGTTTTGTCTACCCAGCCAAGAATTGCGTCGGTTTGCGACTGCAGAGAAACACAATATTGTTATATTGTATTAATTACAAAATAAATCCGCTAATTACCATTTTTTCATCATCTGAGAAGGCAATACCCGTCCATGTATCAGTATGTTTGGTTGTAATTGTAAATCGAATCTCATCTTTGCGTGGTACATATTCCCACTTTGCGGAATATTCGCAAGTGCGGTTTTCAACATTGCACCCTCTTGGTAACTTCCATTCGCCGCCACAATGCGGAGTATATTCATCTTTTGAAGGTGCAGGTTTTCCTTCTTCTGCTCCGCCGAATCTAGTATTTAAATCTACTAACTCCTCAGATTTTTTCTTTTCATCTACGACAAATAGTTTATAAATTGGTGAGGTTTAAATTTTGAAACTTGATTAACTTACCGAAGAAGTTTAGTGTCAAAGCACCGCGCTGACTACCATGACCATGATACTTAAGTTCATCCGGTTTGTAAAAGTCTTTCACCGACGCTGGCGACGCTTCAATTCCCGATTTGGGTACATGAATGTATTTGCCCATTTCTTGACCTTGTGCCCAAATCACGTGCATCAAATCTTCTTCAATAGTGTGATCTGATGGATCCACTGCTTCCAACTTCCTTCGGAATAATATTGTTGTCACACCGTTCTTTTCAAAGCCCATGGCGGCAGTCAAATCGTTCTTTCCTCCCCAGAAGTTGTCAGTTCTTGGGGTGGACCTATCACGAGTGTAATAGTCTCCAATTCTGCTAGCTGTGTCTCTAGCAGAACCGATAATGATATCGGTACAGTCCATTGGGCTAAAGTCGTGTTTTGGTGTGTACGGATTTAGTATTTCTGCACAATACAAATTAATATTAGATTCGGTTCAATATTTTAATATTATGAAGCATTTTATTATTGATTAGTCGAATGTTGCAGATGAAAATGGAAAAGCATGTGTTAGTTCAACAACAAAAGTGATGGGCTTGATGGCGGATGATATTTTGTAGAATATCGCTTGATGTTTACCTTGGTTTCCTTTCTTTGGCACAGATTGAGTATTAGCGAATTGTTTTTTGGTTTCGGGTTTTGGTTCGCTGCTTGGTTCCGGTTCGGATTTTGGCTCGGAAGTTGGTTCTGGTTCGGATTTTGGTTCAGGTTCCGGTTCAGACTTGGGTTCCGGTTCAGGTTCTGACTTGGGTTCTGGTTCAGGTTCTGATTTAGGTTCCGGTTCAGGTTCCGATTTGGGTTCTGGTTCAGGTTCTGATTTGGGTTCCGGCTCTGGTTCTGACTTAGGTTCTGGTTCAGGTTCGGACTTTGGCTCAGGTTCTGGTTCAGATTTGGGTTCTGGTTCAGGTTCAGATTTTGGTTCGGGCTCAGGTTCAGATTTGGGTTCAGCGGTAGGTTCGGGTACCGATTCGCCTTCATCCTTCGACGCTTGACCTGGCTTAGATTCTACAAGAAACACGAAATGACCAACCACCAACAATTAGTTTAAAAACGATCAACAGTTTTAAAGATTGTTTTATACAGAGTGTTCGTAATCATATTCTAGTCTCTAACTACGTGTAATACATTAAAATAACTAATTCAACGTGTAGTGATAGTGTTAATAAATAATTGTAAACTACTGAGTTGCATGTGCGTCTAGTGCGCGATTTACGATTTGTACAGCAATCTGATTTTAGTTGTGCACGACTATAGCATGTAATGTGACTTGTATACATAGAGTTAGACTTACCTTCAATAGCACGTCGTTTTCTGCCCTGCTTGGTGCTGACTTTGAAAGAAACACTGGTCTCAATCGTGCCATCAGGTTGATCTCGATGAGACGCTAGAATACGAGGGATGCAGAACGTCTTGAATACAAAGACTTCCTATACTTTGATTTAACAGTTGTTGTTGGTTCGGCAGTTGTAGTAGGTTCCGGTTCTGCCTTGGGTTCAGCAGTAGGTTCTGGTTCAGGTTCCGCCTTGGGCTCTGCTGTTGGTTCTGGTTCCGACTTAGGTTCAGCAGTCGGTTCTGGTTCAGGCTCAGCTTTAGGCTCCGCAGTTGGTTCAGGTTCAGCTTTTGATTCAGCAGTGGGTTCTGGCTCTGCTGTTGGTTCGGGCTCAGCCTTTGGCTCGGCAGTTGGTTCCGGTTCTGACTTTGGTTCTGGTTCAGGTTCAGCACTGGGTTCAGGCTCTGCCTTAGGTTCAGATTCAGACTTGACATTAGCCAAGGGACCAATCTGTGGCCAATTTTTGCAGCTCTTCGTGAAAGACCTTGGCCGCCAACCTAAACCAACGTAAGAAGTACCGTTCGCCACAAGCACAACCTCCAATTCTTTGTGCTCTCTCAAAATGCGCCAGTACAATTTAAGATTGTTGCTCAACTGCTTGCTGCTGTAGAGGCCGAAATCGATATCGGTTGATCTAACTGGCGATTCTATACACAAAGAAAAGCGCATGAATGGCAGGATTAAAAAGGTGTTTAGCGGTACATTTCGAAAGTCATACTTTTGTTGCATCCCGGGCCGAACCATCCTAACAGACAATAGCATTGCTGTCGGGGGGCCGTCGTCGCATCAACATCAATGCACTTCCCGTGATTGCCGCAATCGCTGTCCTCGAAGCATTCGTCTCTGAACTGACAACGATCGCCGTAGTACAAACGATCACACTTACACCTTCCGAGCAAGTAGCGACCGTGGCCGTTGCACGTCTCACGGAATTCTTTACCTGCGGAAACATGTGTTTGGAATAATTAATCATAAGCCAAACCAAAAATGTTTGTATAACCCACGTGCTTTAATGTCGACATCGGCGCACGACCAGAATTTGTAATTTGCTCCCCATTCAATCGCCTGCCGGATAAGTCGCAGCGTGCAATTATTGCACGTGTAATTTGAAGGCAATTGAACTTGGAATGTCTGGGCACTGAAGAAATTTTATATTTACAATTAAACCTATTATTTGCACAAAAATTAATGTTAACATACGTCGCATCGTTAGAAAGAAACTCAGAATTTTGAATACTCGGCGTCAAGTCCAATACTGGTCGCTCTAGTTCATCCAATAATTGAATTTTGAATCCACCCTGTAATTTAAAAAGACTATAAACACAATTTAAACAAAAAGCATAAGAAATTACTCGGTGTGGATAACCAAGGTGCCATGAAACGTTGAATTTGCTGCCGGACAAGAATGATGTTCGAATGTTTCCTGCAATAACAGAAATTATTAAATTGAAACAATTATCTACAATTACTCTAATTCTAAAACAACATGTTTGAACGCAAAACACATTAAACGGTGTTTATCAAGGCCAGAAACAACAAAAAATAATTGACCATAATTGGCTATAATGTTGAATGGTTTGAAAGTATATTTATTCAATAATTTCGAGTATATTAATTTAGTTTTATAAGTTAGCACTTTCACTTGAAATTCGACCAATCATGCTACGGTAGTTTGTGATAATTTTATTACAATAATAACTAGCTGTGCGTGATCAGGTAAATAAACTAAATCGGAATTCCATCGAGAAACACGTTCGAGCGTGCAACGAACCAGATTCCAGCTTTGGCTGGCGACTTAATCTGATTTGAAATTATAAACAAACAGCGAACGCTTCGGAATCGGTAATAAGTGTAATGAAACGTAACGGTAACGAAATATTTACGTATCTTTAATGTATGGAATCACATTCTATGCCCCGGTGCAACGGAGACTTCGATGGTGTGCGATGCACGAACGCAAAAGCATTTCACGAATTCAGCGCCCGACCTTGGGCACTGCTCGACTATGAATCACGTACGTGCGATTACAATTACATTGTCCGTATAAGAATTCACTTTGTAGGTCTTTTAATTCGTACCGAAACCGGCAATGTAGAGTATGCAGCACCTCCTAAGGTGAACCTAAATAGAATGTAGACTGTGGAGCTAATTATGTGGGTGGGTATATCCGATGGATTTTAAATACTATGTGTAAATGCTAAAACCGCAAATTACGTCGAAATTACGCGGGATTGTTCGCTTCGCAATTGAGCATTTTCAGATTGCACAAGCATAGCGCCGAACGTGACTGACAGATTGGCGAATCATGGAATATAGAGGTTGACTTTCCCACATTTCTAATTAGTGTTAACGTTTTCACAAATTTGTCATGTCAAGCGTTGGAGATAATTGGAAATTAGTAAATAAAAGCCTAACTTTCAAAACAAAAACTTAAATTTTAAGCATTTTTAACTTGAATTGTAAGATAAATTTTGTACAAAAGCATAGAGCATAAAATTATCCACATTTCTGGTATGACTTAATAAATTCTTAGAAAATATTTTCGAATACCCAATAGAAAAAAATCTCAAAAACTTAATTTTTATGCTATTTAGAAAATTAGATACAACGTATTTTAACTTAAATTCACTAGAATATGAGTCAAAATACATGAATTACAAGAATTTGAAAAAAAAGTATATATTTTGCAGCAAAAACTTAACATTTTTTAAATTAAACTTGACATATTGTATACTGAATTCAATCAAAAATATTATCTGAAAGACATACCGACAAACATAAATAAATATCTACGGATAGAAAAAGTGAATCTTGAGAAAATTGTGATTTTTTCAGTTATCACCGTTCAAAAGTGGAATAAATTCAAAACTTATTTTTTTTTTTTTTTCAATTGGAAATTTATAACAATAACATAATAAACCTCATAATAGAGAATTAAATTCCTCACACACACTTTGATCTATATTCAACCGAAGTAATGACTCATAGTGCAGGAATTACAAGCAAAATTTAATACCATAACTCCTTTTCCCGTTTTCCTCGTTAAACCCGTTACGTTGCCATTTCATTAATAAATGCACGCCACGCTACGTGATGCACATTCTCTTTTGCAATTGATACCACACATTAGCGACAACCAGTCTACACTAACGCATGATACGAGCGCCTGTTGGAAAAGTGTAACATTGTCGACATTGTTTCTCCTTTCGTACGGTCGGTGCGGTCGCTAAACTTAACATTCACCTGTCGACGTGCGCCGTGTTTGCGCGACTGTGCGCAAGTTTCGAATTCGACTTCGAAAGAATGGTCAACGAGTTATAGACCATCGCCAGTCGAAACGAACGACAAACACGCACCTGATTAAATGACAATGACATGCTTTCTAATCATTACGATTATTATTATACCTATATAGTATTCTGCAATATTTATGTTTTAATAATAAAAGAATTTAAAAAAAAATCTGAGTGTAATTTAAAATCTGTGTCATCTGTTATTTAATAAAAGTATTTACATTGCAATAAATGATGTATTTCATTAAAAAGCGAAATCTGCCCGCATCTTCCCACAATAAATAAAAGTTATGCACATTTAGGTACGCATAAATCCACACAGCCGGCATTCAATGCAAAACTATACCTACGTTTGTTTACGAGCATAATCACAACAACATTTACCTAACAAACCGTTTATTATATGCATACGTTTAAATTCCATTTGGAATTACAACAGATCTAGAGCAGATATTTACGTAAGACAAATTAGAATAAACTATTCGATTTATTTCATTTCGTTTGCGGCATTTTAATTCGGCGCCACACTGATATTCAAAATGTTTTTATTTTATTTTTATTTTAGAGTAGTCTCGTGCTTAGCGAATGTAAATCAAGAACAAGATCGCTCACCTTTGGGCATTCCGCACGGCGGCTTCGTCCTGGAGCTGTCCAAAAAGTCCAAGTCGTACTTGCGCGCGGGCGGGTAAGTCAGCGCAACGTGGGATCGCGTGGGCACGACCACGATCACCAACAATGCAACGCACACGCCAATTAGACGCGCTGTCACGGATTTCAACTGTTGTTGCTTCATTGTCGTCGACAACATCGTCAGATGGTGTTTTCCGCGAGGTGTGCAACGACGTTTCCAGAACACAATCTGTGACTACTATCGCTTCGTCGGCATATCGGGCGAGATTATTACAACCTGCAAACAAATAAAACTTATTTTAAAAATTATTTTAAAAAACCCTTGAAATATTCGTAAAAATGAAAACATAAAAAAAACAGAAGAGTACTTCGATCAAAATATAGTGACATTTTCATTAACAACTAGCTTTTGCCCAGGACTTCGTCCCGGTAGTGTTTAATAAAAATGTAATTTGTTTTTACTCTCTTGTTCTTGACAGTAGTATGTGTCAATTTTATCAATAAGATTTGCAATTTTATTTCAAAGAAATTAATTATATAAAGAATTGCTAATAATGCACTTCAGCGCGCCATCTCGAATTCAACTATTTAACTATAACTATTATTGAATCTCAAAGCCAACTTTTATCCTATAGAAAATGGCTGTCTTTAAGGTTTTCCCGACAATTATTAGAATTTTTCTCGCCGTAAAAACCATTCATGGACTTAAACGAATAGTTTAAAAAAAGAATTGATAATATTGGTTTAGGCGTTGTTGAGTTATGCGCTAACCAACAGATTTTGCAATTTATTTTTATAGGGTGGGTGCACCAGTGCCGCACCAGGCACCAGTAGTGCACCATTTCCACTTTTACATTAAAATATTAACGTTCTGTCGAACTTTCCGCCACTTTTTTAATATTTGATAGAACTGTCGTACTTCTATGAATCATATAGTCGTAAAAAAAACCGACAAATACGCCATCCACATTAGTTTTTAAAGCAAAATTCGTAACGACAATCGTGCACTTCGTTTCGAGCGGCCATTCTAATAAGCGACACGTCGACGGAAAGTTTTCTTAAATCAGTGTAAATCTTTGTTTATATCAATTTCTGTAACCGCTTTTCTAATCAATTGCGTACTATGCACTGTGAAGCATTAATATTACGTTTTATTTAATCTGAATATGCTAATTTAAATCCATAATTGCCATTGGTAAACTACTGGAACTCGAATTGAATGATTTTCCAGTAATATACCATTTGGTCTACAATTGGTGATTTAGCTTTTTGATATATTTTTTTATTTTTTCTCTTACATGTAGGTTTACATAATGCTGCAATAAAATATTATTACTAAAAGAATACCATTATTCACAATGTGCCAGTTGTAGACCAGTGGTTTACTACTGGTAATATCTGTACCAAGAGTTTATTCCTGTAATTGACCACCCACATTTTTGTATACACAATGCTGCCAAAAAGAATGTTTTTTTTTTAACTAAAAGGAGGAAAATGAGTTAAAAGCAATTGACGAAATAAGTAAAGGTGCAAATATTAGGGAAATATGTCGAAAATACAACATACCCCACAGTACGATCACAAATAAAATAAAGTAAATATAATAATAAGTAATCATTTTTCCAGAAGTACTTTTATTGTTTTCTTTTTATTTTGATTTGTTTTATATTGTTTGATTCAAGTTAATTCATAAATATTGTGTTATAGTTATGACGCTTGTGTAAGTGATGCGAAATTTTGATAATTATCTAGTTCTTAAATTAGTTAATAACATTATAAGCCCTGTAGCATTTAAGTATTACTTGAAACTTGTAGACTGATGAAAAGTTGTGATGATTATTACATAAAAAAAAGTGGTTCACTATTGGCTCAACGTCTGGTCTACTGCTGGTACAGTCTGGTCAACCTTAGGCACATTGCGATTTTCCACATTTATCGTTAAATAACAAGAAACCTAACAGCTATTAAGAAAATTGGAATAAGCTACATGATTCTATGGTAAACAAAGAGTATGTAGCTCTTTTTTTGCACTGATTGTTGTAATAATTGAGTCACAATATCAAAATTACTTTCAAAATGACGCTTAAATGGTGTATTACTGGTGCAGTCACCCTATTATAGAAGATATTCATATATTCATGAACGAAAAACATGATTTGTAGTCATTTTCATCAACAAACTTTAAATAAATTAAGTATAGATCTTTAATATTTAAATTTTCCATTTTTTAAGTAAAATTTGCTCATGTAATAAAATAATTCTGAAATTGACGCAGAAAAACACAATGTAGAAAAAAATAAGGAAAAACTGATTTAGAGAAATATTTAATCGAAAATTAAAGAAATAAACTGAATAGTTTTAGCGAAGATTACTTCACACATAATAAAATCAAGAAAAAAATACAAATAAAATGAAATAAGTAGAAATCGCACCAAGAAACTATTCAGTACATTTCCTTTCTAATGATATTTTGTTCGAAAATTTATTAGTTTAAAATTTAGTGTAAAAAACAGTTTTACTTGATTTAGACAAGTTAATGTAGACAATTTAATCCTCTTGTTTCGTAAACTATATTGTATAACATAATAGCAATAATCACGACCAATGTGGCCACCGCAATGTAATTCGATCTTCATTTGTTTTTACATAATTTATAATTTACGCGTAATTTAAATCCCGCGTCCGCAAAAGGTAAATCACGCCACGCCAAATATGCAATAATAAATAATCCATTGCGTTAAGATGAATAATCAGGCGTAAATTATACCATTTAAGAGCACGCTACACCTGCTTGAGTGCGTTTTTTCTAAAAATCGTTTTTTGTGTAACCATCATCCTCCAACCGCGCCGATTGCGGCTGTGAGGTTTGAGTAACAATCGCACGCTCATTACAAGTTACATCTTCGTCTTCAACGTGCACTTCAACGCCTTATATAGGTAAATACTGGATATATACTGCGTTTACAAAGTGCGCCATCGATCACAACACATTCACAGCAAAATGATGAAACTTTCTTGGCCGTGTCAAGACTCACCGCGCTTAATACCTAATTGTGGCGCGTATTTTATTATGAAACATAATACGCACACAATAAAATACTTGTGGACTGTAGGATTTCAATAAATTGCTAATCGTGCAATGCATAAAACTCACATTACCAGGCTTTTTGTTTTCGGTGTCGATTAGCATAGCGTGAGCGTCTTCTCTTGACGCACCGAAAACGTCGTGTCATGCATTGCGATCGCCCGATGGCCGAGGGCGAGAAGGTGTGTTGAATAAATAAATATTTACGCCACAGCGCAATCGGAAAAAGTTTCACTCGATGCCACCACATTCTTCACACACACACACACACAGAATTGCGTACGGTAAAGTGACACGAATGCTCATAGACGTTCTTCGGATTGAAATTATAATCATTAATAAATTATTTCGAAGGTCGGCGTGTTGGAAATAGAAATCTAAACGTTTTTCAGGTCTATTTACTTTAAATAACTAGTTTATGCCTCTTAGGAATCCATTTTATTACATTCTCAATGCTTAAAAAACTATTGGATATATTATTTTATTATTATGATGCTTTTTATTTTTACGCACTACACAAAATGTCGCCAATGGCAAAAATACCATGTTTTTTTTAAATTTTAACATTTTTACTGCTGTAACAACTGCAACTCAAACATCCTAAATAATATCATAAACCAAAATGTGAGTGTGCTTGTTTGTTTATGACCCTTTCACGCAAAAGCTATTGAATTATTTTTGATAAATTTTGGTATAGAGATATTTTTAAACATGAAAAAGCAAATAGGCTATTTTTTGTTGCAAAAATTTAAAATCAAATATATAAAAGATTGGAAAATAGCTGATATGGAAATTCAATAATATTTTTAGTTATATGATTCAAACCGAGATGGCGCTGATGTGCATTTTAGTATTTATCAATTCTTTAAACTTAAATTAAGAATATTATTAGTGGAGTTGGCAAATAATACGTCCAAGATACAAGAAAGCAATAGTTAGACCACTTTTTATTAAAATCTACTTACCTAGAAGTGTAATAAGCTAATTTAACAAACTATACTTAAATAACTAATAACAGGCGCGAGCGCGTAACGCAGCTTTCGACGACATAGACATAGACATAATTTACGCGCACTAATTATTAATTACTTTGCAATTCTGCCTTCCTCGTCAGCGCCAATCTCCGAACCCGTTTGTTCCCATTGCTGCAGAATGCCTTTCAACGCATCACAAGAATATGAATGATTGCACTATTGCACATGATGATACTAGCTCGTAAAACGTGAAACGGTTATACCTACATAGAATATCAGTAAACGAGCAACGCACACAGGGTCTTTAACTCGCAAACTGCGCATTCTAGACGCGCGAGTGATGCTATTGTAATGTCATAATTAGTGCGGAGATAATCTACGTACAGCGCAAAATAATTAGACGAACCACGAACGCGACGCGGTGCAGAAAAAAAAAACAGAAAGAATAAACAACTGACGCTGCAATTTGGCGTTGCGTTGTTGCGTACTTCTTCTTCGCCAGTTTGCGTCTGCGTGTGAGTGAATGGCGTGTTACTGGTATTGTTTCGCGTGCGCGCCGCGACGACTGCGACACGCAGATAGAACTCGAACGTTTCCTAATCAGCGCGATTGCTTTAGATTGCCTTAGATTTGTGATGTTCACACTCATATCTTGCAATTCTTGCAAATCCACCATTTTTGCATGCGCATTACTCATCATAGTCATCATCTTGCAGCAAGTGACGAAATTATGTCTTTCTCGTGCATAGAATGACATTTTAGGTTATAGTAAACCATTTATTACTCTCTCAGTTGTAGTGTTGGTTGCCTATCAACACCACAGTTGTTGTAGTGTGATAGTTTTTTCCAAACTTTCGGATAATTATTCAATAATGTCAACTTTCATCAGGTACTAGCCGTTGCAAGGCATAGGAAACTAAAATGTCAAAACCAATTAAATCACACACAAGGCCGTGTCTCCTTCAGACAAATTTGCGCCGACGACATTTGACCGTGTCAATAATTGTCTCTTGTTTATAAATTTATTTTAGTTTTCTGTCGAACCTTGGCTTGAATACGAATACACACATTCATGTCGTTAACTGGAAGTTGAAATGTAGATCAATAAGACAAGACGGCGGGCGACCTTAATTCGCTTTCGCGTACCTATCAACCGAAAAACCTGTCGAAAGCACCAGTTTTTTTTTGCGCGTTTATCTGTCGACCGATTTTTGTTTT